GTAGATATTCGAAGCCAGCAGCAGCAGCTCGTAGAATCACTACACAAAATTCTTGGAGGAAACCAGACCCTTACTGTCAACGTAGAAGGTGTTAAAACGATGCCAGATGACCAGTATGTGAACTTGACACAGTTTGACTTTTTCTTCAGGGTTGCACGTTATAAAAAGCACCTAATCTGAGTACTAACTGGTAGTGGTTCTGTCTTCCACTCTTACTGATTTTTAGATCTGTTTGTCTCATTTCATCTTGTTTTACTTAAGGCATTAAGACCATTTATCTTTCTTGTGTATGCTGCTTGTTTTTTCTAGAGTGCACAGCTGACAACCCTCAGCTCAGTTCAGGAAATAAGCTTTTCATTTCTGCTGATATTTCTGCTTGTTACTTTGCTACCATTCTATTATTATTGCATTATTCTTAATGCAGTACTAGTCTCACTGTGTAGTATGGCTGTTAAAACTGGGGGTACCATATTTTGTAGACTATTTACAGTGCTTGTAGGCTATTTTCTGCTGCGCTGTGTTAAACCCTAGATCTATTTCTGCTTGATATCTCAGTTAGCTAAAGGAAGTTAACCGTCAGCTGGGAAAAGCAAACTTCAATTCAGGTTTGTTCTCCACTGAGTTAGCCTCTGTACGCTGTTTCTTTGTCTCACAGTATGTGTTTGTCTTGCTCAGGACAGAAGTAATCATTTATGTCGTTGAGCGTTCGCCCAATGGCACTTCAAGGAGAGTTCCAGCAACCACCCTCTACGCCCACTTTGAACAAGCCAACATAAAATCATCCCTGCAGCAGCTGGGAGTCAGCTTCTCCATGGCCAGAACAGAGCTCTCCCCAGCCCAAGTCAAACAGCTCCTTCAAAACCCCCCTGCTGGTATGTGGTCTGGGGCTCCTCAGGGGCACGGTCAGCCCTCTGCCAAGTGCTTATTGGTTCTCTGGGAAAAATGTGGGTGTCAGCCCACTGGAAAACACCATTTAAAGCTGCAGGTGTTTTGAAGGCATTCTGATGTGCTGACCTGTTCTAATTACAAGCTAGCTTAGCTGCTGAAGTGCAACCTAGTCTGCTAAGACAGTTGTGCAGAAACTTAATTTATCAGTGGTACACCACACAGCAGTGGACTATATGTGATTTGGCCATTGTCAGTTACTTTGACTTGTCTGCTGGAGGTTGTTTTGTGCTGTTGTTTGTTTTAAAAAGCTATATGTCAGAATAATCATGTCCTTTTTTTCCTTCTTTGGTTGTTGTTTTTTTTTTTTTGAGTGATGAAGGTGGTGTCTCTTAACCCATATCTGTATGTCGCATGGCTACAGATAGTAAATGAACAGCTATATTTTAGCTTGCTGCTCAAGATAATCTTAGTATATGCTTAGTATATCAATGAATATTATGTGTGGCATTTGCAGTGAATTTGGTGGGTAGGGAAGGCAGTGCATGGTACATGACAGGTACTGTGTAGCATGTTCGTTAGGACCAGTGCTGAAACACAGCAGAAGTTGTTACACCTGGATTGCAGGTACTTGGGCAGAACAGCCAAGCTGCAGGTGGGAATGAGCAGCAGAGTTTCATTGCTGCAGCACTAAGAAATGGGGGCACTGTGTTGCAAGATGGTCTTTACCATTGGAGATGTGTCATAAGGACTGCGTGATGGTGGTTGGGCACAGTTTGTTAGTCTTTGTTTACAGAAATAATAAGGAATTTTTCTTGTTTAAGCATGACTGTCTGCTTGGATCAATTGTTGATCGTTCCTTCCCTGCCCTTTAAGGCCAGCAGGAGTGTGCCTTTTGGCACCCAGCCCAAGACCAAGGTTTTAGAAGCTACCCTTGTTTGATTAACCTTAATTTGTACAACTGTCATTAAACATGCTTCTTGGGGTTTGTGTATTTCCTAATATTTAACATATTTAATATCCTAATGTTTAACAGCTGCGAGATACGTTATCTATTCAGATCTGTCCCTACTAAAAAAACTTTTTTTTTAAGGTGTTGATCCTATTATTTGGGAGCAAGCCAAAGTTGATAATCCTGATCCTGACAAGTAAGTCTGATAGTCTATCTGACTATTATAAAAGTATCTGGGAAGAGGGGAGAAAAGCAGAATATTGTGTAGTAATCTTCCAGTAACTGGTAAGAAACCCTTTATAGGACAACTTTGTCCAGTGCTGATATAATTTGAAGAAATGAGGTTAACTAGAAATGCCTGCTCTAATCCCTTTACCCATTTAGGTGCTTTAAGAGGAGTCAGAATGAAGAACTTTTTTGTTTGTTTGTTTTAATCTTAATTTATCAAAAGCTAAGATCACTTGTAATCATTAATTATTTCTTACAACATGTTTGTATTAAATACTTATCTACTTGTAGGCTTATTCCTGTGCCCATGGTGGGTTTCAAAGAACTGTTGAGAAGATTGAAGGTCCAAGATCAGATGACCAAACAGCATCAAACTCGCTTAGATGTAAGTTGTCTTAATTTTATCATGATTACATGCTAGAAGGGTTTGTTATAAAATGAGCATTTCTCCTGTATGCTAAAAACTGAAGGCGGAACCACATGCATTGGATTGTGATGACACTTTTTTTTCACCTCACTATTCCATAATATATTACTGAATTGTACATTTTGGGTTTTGGTTTTTCAGGCTCAAGTTTACTGTGTTGTTATAGGCTAAATCAAAGTTGGATTTTTCAAAATGGCTGAATTAAGTTGCATTGACTCAGACTCTTAATTTGGATGGCCATATTTTTCATGCCTTCTGAAAATCCCACTGGCATATGAAAACAAACAGCAGCGGCCCAGTAAAAAACTTATTGAAAGCATCTTTTGCAAGGACTTTTCAGTTGCTGAACTGAGTACTATTTTCAACCTCCTGGTTTCAAATTAGGACTAATGTGCTCTGTTATCATAAGCTTATACAACTTCAAACTAATTTATATCCTCCGCAGATAATATCAGAAGATATCAGTGAGCTGCAGAAAAACCAGACTACAACTATGGCAAAAATTGCACAGTACAAAAGGAAACTGATGGCTCTTTCTCACAGAACATTACAGGTAACACGGGCATTGTTAAGTGACTCATTCTGACAACCAGTTAAGTGCCAGAAAACAAACCAAGAGGGGATGGGATCCCAGATGACCCGTGCAGTCATGTGCACGGCCAATATTGAAAATAAAATTCTGACTTCCTGTAAATTGAATTAATGTGCAGAGCTGTCAGAGAAAGCTTACTCAGAAGCTGTGGGACTACTGTGAAGTCTTAAAGCAGCAGAAGGAATGACAGAATGAATTTCATGAGCAAGTTGCTGGAGGAAGAACACAAAGAGAGAGGGGTGGGCTGGCAGGGAAAGAGATGAGCAAAGTATTCTCTAACAAACCTCAAAGGCTTCTTTTGCAGGTGTTAATAAAACAAGAGATCCAAAGGAAAAGTGGCTACGCTATTCAGGCAGATGAAGAACAGCTTCGTGTACAGTTAGATATAATTCAGTGTGAGCTTAACGCACCTACACAGTTCAGAGTGAGTAATTGAAAGATTTTTGCCCAGAACTTGACCGATAACCGTATTCTTTTCCTCTACATATAAAGTTTTCCAAATCATGCATGTGCTCTCACAGATGTAAGGGACCTTTAAAGATCTCTTGCAACTCTAAGAATTCTATGAGTCTGTATAAATAAGTAACATTTAGTTTAAGTCTCTCTCTTTTCTTTTCATAGGGCAGACTGAATGAGCTCATGTCCCAAATCAGGATGCAGAACCACTTTGGAGCAGTGAGGGCTGAAGAGCGATATTACATAGATTCAGACCTCTTAAGGGAAATAAAGCAAGTATGTATTACTTGGTTGACTGCTGAGATACTCTCCATTTCATAATTCATGCCAGCTAGGCAATAATTTGGGAGATATATTTAGAATTTTGTGTCTTTTGTTTGATGATAAACTCCTTTTTACTGTTTTCAACTGCAGTGCCTCAAGGTTGTATAAAGCTAGAATTACGCTGTTAGTGCTGAAAGTGCTGTTTTTTCTTCTTTACAAAGTAATTATGCTGTGTTTTTCAATGTGCTAAGGCTTCTAATATGACTACTTTGAGAAATCTGACTTAAAATCTGTGCAGTTAAACAACACTTACACTGGTTTTTAAACTACCTGCAGCATCTGAAGCAGCAGCAAGAAGGCCTGAGTCACCTAATTAGCATTATAAAAGATGACTTGGAGGACATCAAACTGATAGAGCATGAGTTGAATGAGAGCATTCCCATGAGAGGAGGTTTCTTCAGTTGACAAGCAGGATTCTGCTGGGCTCACGTGGAATGTTATTTGAGTTTATCATTCACCTTCCAAGGCCAAAACTGGTGAGGTAAAATAAAATGTACATCTGAGGAGCAATGGTGTAGTGGCTGTTATTTTTTTTTAGAATTTGCAAAGCCTCTTCTAAGCTTTTGAATTTGACCTTTGGAAGGTTTATATTTTGTAAAGCTGTATACGCTTTAAAAAAAAGAAAGAAAACTGAATCTGTTCAGATACTGTTTTACTATAAAACAATATGTACTATTGTACATTTTTTTCTTTAATTACAGCGGAGTTGTCTTAAAAATGCAGTGCTGAGGGAATTGTTCCACTTGTGACTTGGTTTGTGGAAGCTTAGCTGCTTCCATGTTTTTGTCAACACAGCTGAGTAATGTTATGTAAAGAGCTAATCTAAGTCTTTACAGAAATGTCTAAACTATGTTGGTCTCCGTAATGCTGGTAGTTTTCTGGGGCATTTCCAGAGTATGCCCTTCCTTTGGACTGTTTACATATGTGAATTTTACAGTGCTTTTCTGCCCCTCAGCTAAAAACAGTGTCTAGATATTGTCTTCTGCTTTTTTTTATTTTGAATTTCTGGAAAAATAATAAATTCAGTCTGACTTTGTAATATCTGTGCATGATGTTGGCTCCTTTTCAGCTATCTCAGTAAAGCTGTGAAGCTTCCAGCAAATCCAAGTTAATGCATTTCACTTACTCTAGGCACTGCATGTAACAAGCTATTCAGTTTGATGCCACAGCACTCTTTAACAGCTTCAGTCCCCAAACTGAAATACAAGGTTGCACCCCTTAGATCCTACCTACTACCAAGTACTGCAGAGTGGTACTAGAGGCACTGGAGAAGCACCTTTTCTGTCCTCAAGTTGCCTCAAGCCACAGAAAATAACTGAAAAATACATAATTCCCTGAAGGAGAAGGTTGTACAGCACATTTACAACTCATCTTAGAGACAGAATTTTGTTCATTAGCCCAAGAAGTTGATTACAAAGGCCATAGCACCCCTGCTAGAATGATTCTGCTGCAGATATGAGAGAAAGAGAGTTTGTGTTTTCTTTGCACTTTATTTAAAAATTTAAGTGCTCCCCCACTGCTTTTTAAGCTGTAGTTGCATCATGCTTCAAAATTGAACGACCTCAAGCATACAGCAGCATTGCTTTAGCTGGGGAGTAGTTAGTATCAAAAGGGTATCCTCGGCAGATTTAAGAGCCCTGGGGGAGAGACTGTTTTGTACATATGAGATGATGGTAGTTTATTTTTTCTATGTGTTGCTCCACTGCATATTTTTAGTAGATATATCTTACTGAAGCAAAGGAACAATGGGAGAAATAGATGTTGTCACAGAAATAGTACTGTTTTTAGTAGAACTGAAAATCTAGAGAAGGCATGATGAACAGCCCAGAACAAGGCATCTAGAAAAGTTTATTATTAAGGAAGACTGTGCTCTAGCAATTGCTACCTAGTAAAGCAGCGCCTCCAATAACTACCTTTACTTTAATTTTACTTAATGTGAATAGACTTTTAAAATTTCATGACCTGCATTGATGAGAGAAACTAACTCGCATCTCCCCTTGAGCAGAGTTTTCTATTTATAACACAGTTCCTTTTAAAATGCAGTCATAATTGTGGTATAACTTATCTATTTTATCATTACCTTCCCCAAATGGATCACAGCTGTTGGCTGGGTGGTTCCTGTCTTCAGTGAAGAGCACCAGGAACCTGCCTTCCTGTTCTCTGGTTTGTAGCTGCGGGCATGCTCTGCAGTTAGGTTGGAAGCAGTCCTTCTGGCTTTGCAGACAAGGCATTGGATGTGATGACCTGCCCTGGGTTCTCACTACTGGGACTGTTTGACAAGGCGGAAAGCTTCTAGGAACTCGTTGAAGTCAATGTTTCCATCTTTATTGAAATCAATGCTGCGAACTAAGTCATTGATGCCATCGTCTGTGAGTTCAATGTTCATGTGGGAGCTGAACAGCTTCCAGGTTTGGTGGAACTCCTCAAATGAGATGAGACCTGTGAGGCAGAAATGCACAGCTGCCTCAGCACAAGGCTTGCCAGCACCTGCTCAGATTCACTGCCTGCTACCCTAAAGGAAGGAAGTGACTTTCAGATTCTGCAACTATAGTTCCTAGCACGGAGAACAATGGATAAAATACAAAATAAAAGTGGCAAAGAGACATAAAACAATGTGTGAGAACAAGAGAAAGACTTGTTTGTTCTCCTCCCTAATGTGATTTGGTGAAGATAACTGCTCATGAGCAGGTAACTCAGAATCCAGAGATGCTGCATTACTGTCGTTGCTCTCATAACCACTTTTTCTGCTGAACTCCTCCAGAAAAAAAAGAAGTCTGAATTCCCTGCTTCAGCTGCACAGTTCCTTTGAAATGCCTCATTTGTGGACATGTGCACTGATAATATAGAAGCTCTTGAGGCTGATATAGGAAGGAAGAAGATACATGCCTTTTTCTGTTAAATCAGAATGCTTTAGTAGATGCTAAAGGAAGACCAAAAGTAGAACAGAATGTAATGCAGTGACCAACACGCCTTGTACACCTCCTTACCTGAATGATCTCTGTCTATGATCCTGAATATGGTCTCCAGGTTGGATCTGTTTCGATAGATAACTTCCAGCAAGCTCGACTGGATGTGCTGAAAGACAACATATTGTCATGCTCATTCTACCCTTTTCAACAGCTCTGTATTTCCACTCTGATCACTAGCTGCAAATCTTCACATAATTAAAAATGTTTATGGCTCTTGGGAGTTTGCCAGCAGTGCACTTTGCATTGTGGATATGTTATGAAATGAGTTTGTGATGCCTCAGCCCTCTATGCAACTCTGAATTAAAGCACACCAGCAACTTGTCACTTCCAAATGGACCACTTTCCCAGGCCAACAGAGGAGAAAGGGACTCAAGCTATAACCACTGCAGTTGTTTCTGCTGAGTGCAATCAGGAAAGCTGTGAATCATAGAATGGAGTACAGTTTTACCATTCAAAAAACTGTATCCAAAACTAGCTCTAGGTTTTTATCTCGTATGTATCATCCTTTTCTACAATGGAACAAGCGCCTCTAGAATACTCAAATTCATGCAAGTGCTTTGTTAACTTCATTATGCTTTTGGATTATACAGGAACTATCCACTCTCCTACCCTTTCCTGCCATACTTGGCCCGATGCACTGAGCTGCTCTGCTTTGACAAAAGTGGGTGAGGCCTTACCTCTTGGCTCCTCTGCTCCATGGCCAAATCATCAAGCCAGGACTTGTACTCCAGCATGCCATCTGCTGTGCTGCGCACCAACTGTGGTCTCAACATCCGCCACGGCAATCCCAGGTGCAAGACTGACTCCACTGCCGTTGCCCAGTTGCTCAGCGTGATCTTTCCTGTAGGGAAAAGGGAAAGCCATGGGGACTGCTGAAACCAGTGGCTGAAGACATGTAAAGACTGTCATTCCCAGGTGCTATATGTGGCCAGGCTAGAAACCAACCCCAGAAGATCTATTATGCCAAACAAAACTCTCAAGTTGCCCTGCTAGCTAGTAGGGTCATGGAGCAGTAACACAGCAAAAGCATTTAATGCTCTCCCTGCCACCAATGCAAAAAACCTACAATAGCATGCATACGCAGCCTAATGCGCTGCTGACAGAGACAGCTCCATTTCTCCACGGCACCTGTGAGCACTTCAGTTCATGAAAAGGCCTTTGACAGCTTTACAGATATCTGCCTACAGCAGCCACTGCACAGTACAAGTGCTTTCTGCTCCCACCAGCTTCAGCAAGCTTTTGACTACTGCAACAAATTAGGGTTTGGAGCTGCAAACCTCTAAACACTGTGAATTTGGGGTATTTCATTGCAAATCTATGGCCTGCATCCAGTCCTTTCCTGCAGCTTGTGACCTGCACAACTACATGAGTAGTTCCTCTGTGACCCAGGAACGTAGAAAAGTTCCCAGTTTAGCAGCTGCTCTAACAGTTAAATTGGACTTCTGGGAACAATTTCACAGCCCGGGAAGGAATACCCAACAGGAAGGCTGTTCTGCTGACTGCCATGTCCCCATTTCCCCCAAGGCACATACAGACAGATCCGCTCAGCTTAGCTGACTCTCCTGGCTGGTGCAAAAGCAGCCTGAGGATTACAAACTCACCACTCTTTCCTTAAGACTGATAGTGGTAGCTGGCACAGAAAGGATCCCTCAATTTCGACTTCAAGGAGATTTTAGACTTCAGGATTGCAGAGGCTCTAGAAACCACTCAGCCAAGTGACAGATGTGTTCCATGTCATTTTTCTAGTGCTTTCTCAGTATTCCTGTTGCAAAGGTTTCTCCTTGCACCAAGTTTGAACTGCTACATATTAGGCTCATCACCTCTCACTTCTCTCCCTCATAATAATAAGGCATTAAAGCAGAAGAGAGAGTGAATAACAGCAAATGGGACCAATACTGTGGCAAGGTATTACTGATACAGCCTGTAATAGTCACTGACAGCTGTCAGTGAAGAATCTCCCAACCAGATATGCACTCACCTTAGCCTCTTCCACTTCATCTCACCAGAGAATTAACTCGGTGTCTCATGGCTCAGATTTACCTGTATTGTCTTTATCGTACAGCTTGAATGCACTGATGAGGGCAGAGGTGTGAGCAAACAGCTTTTCCCGCAGGGCTCGGAAGGCTGACTCCTCTACTCTGCTGATTCTGAAGCATGCAGAAAAGAGAGAAGCATCTTAAGGACATGCCATGAAGTGCAAGGGAAGCTGCACATCCCAGTCCTCTGGCATGTCCATGGATTGCTCGCACCCTCACACAACAGCCCTCCACAGCTATTGCTTCTCTGCAGTGTTCATAACAAGGCACTGCATATACATAGAGCAGTATTTCCCACAGCTAATGCAGTAAACCCCTGCCAAAGCAACAGAAACCTGTCCTTGCCTTATATAAGCTGTCAGCAATTAGTACAAGCCCAGGGAAAAACCACCTATCCTAGCAAACTTCCACAGTTGGTGTTCACCTGTTTCTGTTTACGTATTTTTATTAGTTGTTCTACCACACCAGTCCACATATACTTTTAACAGCTGTGCAATTTTGTAAATTAACAAAGTGGAAAGGAATTCCAGGAAGGTCAAAAGTTAAAATATGACACTGGAAAGAAAAGCTGGAAAATCAGCAGCCAATAACAGAAAGACCTGTTTTGACCGTCAATTGCTTCCTCCTTGTCCCTTGTGAACCTCCCTTAGAGCTATGATTTAGAATGTCAAGCTATGAAAGTTCAGCTTTGGAAGCAAACTTTCTCAAAGCTCCCAAAGTTTTCCCTTTGGGAATTTTGACTTGGTGAATTCTTATTAACAAAAGCCTTGCCTTTGGGTCATGGTGAGAGTGTGAGCTGTCTTGTTTGCTTGGTACTGAACAAAATGGGGCACCAGGTCTGGCCCCAGCTTCACATAGGCTCCCCTGTTGCTGCCAATCTCATAATAGTTTGAGGCTGAAAAGATGGTCAGTACCTAAAGAAAGGTATTTACAGTCAGAATGTACATCCTCTATTATACATATATAGGTATCATGAAAACAGTGCATTAATCCTGTCTGAAGTCAACAGATGATGAAAGAAACATTTTCACATGGAAAGCAAACAGGTGATGCCAGCCTTACATCGACCTCACCACCACATGCTGGGCTTCTGCAGTTTCTCTGCCCTCTCCCAGCAAATTTCCACCTTCCACTGCAGTTCAGCTGAGGCCACTGAAGCCACTGAGACTTCTGAGAACAAAACTTTACAGCAGCAGCTTATTATCACTTCTTTTGTATTTAATCTTCAGAAACAGCTGCTTTAAGTGCAGGCAATTGCACAAATGAATTCAGGTCTTTTCTTACAGCACAGGAATGTGCTTTACCTGTGTAACAGTTCTCCCCAACGGAGAAGCTGTTTCAGACTGCCCCAAACTAAGTACTCAGCTAGTAGCATATTTCAGTAACTCCTGATATGGCTGCTCAATAATTTTATATATACTTGGAAAAAAAAACAAAAAAACAAAAACCCAAACCAACAACCTACAAGACTGGAAGAAATAAAGAGCAGAGACAACGGCAGGATGGAAACTCAAACATCCTTCCACCACCCCCTCACCGACCTTCCGGTTGTGACAGAACTCATAGCCCTCTTGCTTGCACTCATGGGAGCGGATGAGGAACTGCAGGTTGTACTTCTCAAGGATCTTGCCCGTCACATCAGGCCCAAAGTAGCAGCCACCACCTCGCACCGTATTTTCTCTGCAGCCCTCCTGAGGCATGGGGTCACTCCAGAGAATGTCTAAAATCTGAAATAATCAGAACAGTTCACTGAATGATGTGTACCTGTTGACATTTACTAAGCAAATATAGCACAATCTCTGCATCCCTGCTGGGACTGCTGCTGCTACCATAGCACAGAGATGTTTCCTGAATCACAGCTGAATCTCCATATTGCTCTGCAAGACTGTCACAGACCTGAGGCACCACAGAAGTGATGATACTGTTAGCCCAGAGCTACAGCCACACCCAAAGTGCCTGAGGAAGAGAGAGGTCCATGAATTAGGCCTGATACAACTGGACTTCAAGGAGACTCTTCTGTCTTCCAGCAGCCCAAAACATGTCCTGGGACAAGTAACCCAGCAGATCCCCAGACCAAGAGTGGGCTTAGTACTAAACTCCTTTGCTCGCCAGTCTGGATGTTCAGCAGCCTCCAGTACTGTAAGTGCTGACTCAGTGACCACTATGTGGATTAAAGTTTAATCTCTTTAACCCTGACCTGAATATACAGCTTTATGCTGGTAAGGTGTGTAATGCCAGGATGTCATCTGTGATGTGTGGTGAAGAACAATGGTATCATAGCACACAAGAGTCTCCCAAACAGTCTGGTTCAACAGAACGTGGAAATCAAGTTCCCAGGCTCTGTGAGCAACGTACTCAATGTACAGCTTGGATAAAACCAGAGAATCAGTCTGTTCTTAGTATCCAAGATCACAACTCCCTTGTCAGCAAATGACATGTTTGCTCATCAGCTATAGCATTGACCTCAAATATCCCATGCACACACTGCACAAGTGATATAAGCACTGGGCTCTATCATCAGTCTTGCCTATCATTTATCTCCCCTGCAGTGAATCACAAAAACCTGTCACCCCACTCTGTATCTGAACAGTTTGATTTATACAACAGGGGAATGCTGTGCTGGGGACAAATGCTGAAACAGAGCGTGGAATGCAGACAGCCAAAAACCCAGTGAAGAGGCTGACGTACAGGGCTAGGAGAAAGGCAATGGCAGAACAGCAGCTAGCACTAGTCACACAGTCTGCATTCTTCTACAGGAATCTCATGCACAGCTCTTCGCTTGCTAGTGATTTATGCCATAGGATGGGCTGGACATAGTACAATGATCCACCAAAATGTCCCCAGTGAGCTGAAAACAGAGCAGATGGTCAAAAAACAGCAGAAAATCCATTAGCTCCTCTGATGGCACTTCAGCACTGACTTGCTCCTTAACTCTACTTTGCAGAGCAGCAAAAATCTCTTTGCAGAGAGGACTGTGCATCGACCCAAACATTTTATAGCAAGATTCCTCAGAAGAACAGAGACCAAAGCTGTGGAAGGCACCAAAAGCAGAGCCCTGCTTATACCACTCACCTGCTTCCACTCCTCTTGCCGAGTCCAGCACGGCCCATCCAAATCTGTTAAGGAGACCAAACTGGAGCAAGTGAGCTCCTCCTCCTCCGAATCGCTGATGTCCACCAACTTGCGGCACCACTCGATTTGTTCCTGCACTGTCTGCCGGACCCACCTGGAGAACTCCACCCTGTTGGTCATGCTGGGAGCCTGGGTTGGTCGGGGCTGTGAGGGTAAGCTGGACGTTATCTCATTCCCTGCAGAATCAGGCTCTGCTTGGCTCTCCCCATTTATTTCCTTTATTTCCACATTTCTGTTTGACTCTTTTCTTTTCTTGCCTCTCAATACAGAAATAAACTGTAAGAGGAAGAGAGAAAGCACAGATAGTTAAATGGATTGGAAAGCTGGATCTCTAGCTCTAGATCTTCAAGCAGAAATCTGTCAAGCAACCAAAGCCACTAAGCTTCAATTAATTTTGCTGCTATGAAATGGAGATTAATTGTAGGAGATTATTAGTGCCACTTGCTCGATGTACCGTTCTTGGCTTAAAGCTGGGGCCACAAACACAGCCTGAATACAGATTCATCTCTTCTTCATTGACTTTATGCTTCTCAGACATTTCACAAAAGATTGCATGGAGTTAATCTGCATTTGGCACAAGACAGAAGAATGAGGGAAAGACAAATGACTAATGCAAGTACTTGTCATTCTATTTAGAGAAGGGAAATAGTATTTTCTCAACTAGCACATTCGGAACAGATAAATTAAATGACTTCTCACAATCCGTCTGGAAATATGGTATTCAGAAAAAGAAAAAAAAAAAAAAAAGACTAATGACCTATGGGATGACAGGATCCTGTCATTGCTGTGTTATTACTGTCAATACCAGCACACCCATGTAACTATGTAATTGTTCACCATTTACCTGGCTATGATACTCAGCTTCCAGAAGTCAGTAGCACTTCTTCCCTTCACGTCTCCTGCACACACCCTATTAAGTGAAATCAGTTCCCTCCAAGACCGCACCCAAACACACTTTTCAACTATGAAGACCATCCTTTACATTCCTCTTGTCAACAGCCAAACTTACACAGCTCTCCAACCAGAAATCAGCAACAGATTTCTCTTGCAACATCCAGGAAATAAAACCTACTTTGTTCCTTTGGATTTTCTCAAGCATGTCCAGATCAGTAGTATCAGAGACACCCCCATGTATAACAAGGACTTTCTGATCAATCAAGGTGGCCAGAGGTAGCCAGCAGAAGACATTCTGAATCATCTTCAAGATTTTCTTCCCATGCAACTAGGAGGACAAGGCAGAAAGGAAAAGATGAAGCATCAGGCCTTCAAAGTCCACATCACATGCTGCAGAAGATATGAACACATGCCTACCTTGTATTTCTGCATGACTTCCTTGGTGAAACCATACCTACAGGAACAGAAGTTAAGTAAGATTTTGCAATGATACCCTTGACATTGTCATCAGCCCCACGAGGAACCCATACCGTAAGTTGACCATGTGGTCTTCATGGTTCCCACGATTGAGATGAACCTCTTTTGGATATATCAAGAGGAAGGTAAAGAGGATGATGAGGATCTCAAGGGACTGTTTGCCCCTATCTACAAAGTCCCCATTGAACACATAGGACTTGGAAGGAGAAGGAAGGCCATTCTGTAAAAGTAAGGACAAGTATTACATTACAAGAGAGGTTTCCCCATGACCCTCATTTACCTTCCCACCAGCTGCATACCGTCTCACTCCTACCCCAAGTTACCTTATAGAATAGATCCTAACTTATTTTTATCCTCTAGGCTCCCAGTGGCAAATGCACTGAAAAGTGAAAGCAGGGAGTCAGAAGGCAGTGCCATTGGTATTAGGACTTAAAAAAAAAAAAAAAAAAAAAAAAAAAAAAAGTTCACTGGCACTTCCCAAATGTATGTGTATGCCCTAACAGTTTTCACAGATTTAAAAGTCTGTGAAGGAATGAGCTTTAGCTTTGTAAAGCCATTTAAATTGACCTGGAGAATTAGATCTTAAGGGCCCAATTTGCAAATGCTTCTTAGCATGACCCATGTGATAGCACTCACAATGTCTGGCCAGCCTCTCCCTCACCAAACAAGGTGCTTACCTTATAAAATATGAGGAACAAGTCATCCAGCTGGCCATGCAAGTCTCCTAACAGGCACAAAAAGACAAACCACAATGTGTTTACCTTTAACTTAAAAATATACACATAAATAACTTCCTATAAATTATCTCCTCTATAAATTAATGACCACTAAAATACTGGAAGAAGTTAAAGGTTTGGCATAAGGTTCAAGGTTCCTGTTCCAATCCAAGCTGAAACCAGGCCATTACAGAATCTTGCTGCCTACAAGGTTCAGGAGAGTCTAAGCTGCAGATCAAATACAGTATGGTAGGGCAAAGCCAGATAGTTCACAGAAAACTGCAGCTGCCTCTCAACACAACATACATTTTACACACAGACTGCATTTATGTTCCGAGTCATATGGTACCAATTCATATGTTTTCCATCCCTTCCACCAAGAATTCTTCCCCAAAGACTGCGCAGTGCTTTCCCACTCAGACGTACCACACACAGTGACCTCCTCACTATAGCAGGTGGAGACATGACTGATGTTTGGCAATTGCTTGAGGTGCTTCCTGGTCTCATGTAGAAGGTTTAAGACATAGCGAGCGTGGAGCTGCTACTAGGAGAAAGTGAAGGAATTAAAGCAGGAAATCAGTGACTTTCAAACAGCAACAGCTGTCTGCAAAGGCCCGAAGGGTCCTCTGCAATAGCCTGGATGGGAGACTCACACAACTTTCACTGTGACAACAATCAAAGCTTGCAAACAAGACAGTACAAATATCAGGCAAAAGCAGCTTCACCTTGACATCAGCAAAAGTGGTAACAACATCCAAAAGCCCTCACACCCTGTGATAGAAGCTATCCACTAGGCAGCACACCATCCCCTGGAGCAGCAGAAATTCCAGACAGATATCGCAGGTAAGAAGCTGCTATCTTCTACATTTTTCTTTGCTTTCTTCACATTAAGCCAGGTTTTGCCATGTGATCTGCACAAGTGTGTTTGCTGGAGGCCATTGAAAAAGCCTTTAACAGGCTTTAGAGACTTTTTTTTTTAGAAGTCTTGTTTTGTTTGGGTAAGGGAGGCTTTGGTGCATTTTGCTGTTCAGCACATTGTCTGAGGGATGGGAGCAGAACACTGCAATTATACAAGGATTTCTTTTGTTACAATTGCTGAATTGGTACTGGACTTCTTTGTAAAACAAACAAACAAATGAAAAAAAACCCAAACAGTTTTAGACCTTTTTCTTTCCCCATTTCAAATATACTTTTATCCCATGAATCAAATATGCACAGCAAAAACAATTTTTATTAATTCTTTCCACCTGGGCCATCCTATATATTTTTTACAAATACAAGCATTGCAACAACAAAAAAAAAAAAGAGAGAAAATGTTTCAACATGGACTACTGTGGGTTTTTTTTTCCCATTAAGATGAACCTAAATGTTATTACTGGCACATACTTACAAATATTTTGCAGTTTGTTAGAACTGTATTTTCTGAAAGGAAAAGTTGCACTGTAAAATACCTACCAGATCATTTCTACCCCTTGGATTAACTGCCTGCCAGCTGCTCATGTTCAAATTAGCTTAGCTGCTGGGCAGTCCAAACACAAATCAGCTGTCCCACACCTCTGTGTGCAAAAGGGAAAAGCGTGGTTTCTTTCAGCATCCTTACTTGTTTTTGTTTGAAAGCTTCCAGCAAGGCAGTCGCATGGTCAGGAAGGAGTGGGAAAGAGAGACGGGGTCCAGTGTAGGAGTCTGGCACCTCCAGGGATTCATAGTCACAGTACTTCTCCAGCTCTGCTTCTTTGAAGCTTTCTCCACTTATGAACATGCGACTGATAAAATCCCCTGGATGGCAGATTAGTTGGTTTCATTGTTTATTTAAAATGAAAGAGATGAGGAAAAGTTAATTTGGCTGAATACACCATTCTTGTCTTTTGATAAAGACAAGCTATTGCTCAGGCTAGTGCAGCAGCAGAGGCTAGCTCCTGGTCTGACACCACCACAGAATTTGCAGTAAGGAAGGGGCTACAGGGCCAAGGATGAGTCACAGTATGCTATGCATCAAACAATGCTGGCAGCTACACCAGTTTCTACAAAAACGTGGGTACTGGTTGCCATGGTTACATGAAGTGGTATTTTCAATGACAAGCACAACTGTATAATGAGCTGTTTCATGTCACACTGTTTTTCTAAGCCTGTACCCACTCACATGCTCAGCACTGTCACAAATTTGTATGTGTGGTTTTTTTTTCATTGCCATAAGATGTCATAGCCCATCTCAAGCAGTGGGGCACTATTGTGCCGTTTTGTACAGACACTGAAAAAAATATGCTCCTTCCTTGACAGGGCTTTACTTTAAGATGTATTGAGTGGCTATGAGAAAAAAGGGTGCCAGCTTGAAAGGAAGGAATGAGTGCTTCAGCAGGTTATGGTCATCAATGTAAATAGCTAATTCTGACATGTCACCATCAGATTTCAGACATAAGTTCATTAGCAAGATCCCAGCACTTGGAAATAACATGTAATGCTCACTGCAGATTCAGAAAGATACTGTACTAGTTGCAACAGCACTTCTTTCCCCAGACAATGAGACTAAATGTAAGTAATGTCGATACTCTGGAGCACAGTTCCCTAAATATAGCTTCTCTGTAGCTTCAGAAATGGATTCTGCAAAGCGTTGGCTACCAGGGTTCACTTAAAAAAGGCAGATTTTTAATACTGTTCTTAGAAAACATACAGAGGTTTTATTCCCCCTTCCAGCTCCTAAGGAGTAGGAAGTTCCACATCCCTTGCACAGCTCTGACAGCCTCCATGTAATTCACTCTGCAATTTCCTGATGCCTTGTCCCCCTACCCCCCCACCTTGCTCTTCCACTGGACAACAAATACAGGGTGCAGCCTTCTGAGCCGCTGGTGCCCAATCTCCAAAAGACACATACAAACTTACTTTCTTTACTGCTGCTTGGTGTGAAGTTGTCCATGAGGTAACTGAAGAAGTTGTGAAGCTGCAAGAAGAGAAAAAGCTCATCATTATTTGCTCCAGAATATCCCCAGTGCTCTCTGGAAATTCTGGCACGTTAACATCATCTTCTTTCTGCGAATATCATCCTTGCCCTTCTCATGTTGTCTGGCATGTACAACAAATCAAGCTATACCTGTTCTGTATTGTTTTTCTTATAATGAAGTAACAGTAGTAGCTTTCCCTTCAGCCATACACATGGAAGAACACCCGAGCCCTCTCCCTGCTTGGCAGAAAGGCAGTGATAGAAGAGAGTGTTAAACAAAATTAAACAAAGTAATCCAATGAGGATTGGCTCTTGGATTCAGACTCAGGAAAGGGCTTATGATTTTAAATGCTCCTTAGGGCTTGTTTCAAGGCTCATTTCTTAGGGTCATATCATGCAACCAGGTGGGAAATCTTTAGGTAAAAAGGAGGCAGGAAACTCAGCCCTGAAGCACTTGCAGGGCTATCAGCCAGCAGCCAGAAGCAAGTGGCAAAGCCAGCATCCTCTTGGCAGAGAATTCAGAAAGGGGCCATGCCTACCAGAATGACTAATAATGGCAGGCCAGGAATGTTCCCTAAGAGGGAAGAGAGAAAAAGTTCCATAGGAGACAGAGTTTACTAAATAAAAAACAAAACCCAAACAAATGGTATTCCATATCCACAAATAACAACCCCCTCTACATTTAATACAAAGTTGTAAAATTCTTGATGCATGGAAATTATGGAGATTACTCCCCTAATACATTATGTTCTTTCCTCCCCAGACTGTTCCATTCACTGCTAGCTACTTTTACAGAAGTAGTCCCTGCAGACCCTCAGGAAAATGTTTTTTTTCTCTCCATCTATAGAATCACAGAATCGCTCAGGTTGGAAAAGACCTTAAAGATTATCGAGTCCAACCACAACCTAACTATACTACCCTAGCAACCCTCTGCTAAATCATGACCCTGAGCACCACATCCAAAGGGTTTTTAAACACATCCAGGGATGGTGACTCAACCACCTCCCTGGGGAGCCTATTCCAGTGCTTAACAACCCTTTCTGTAACAAAGATTTTTCCTGATCCATAGGTTACAGTGTCCTAGAAAGTATGATATCCTACATCTTGCACACTCACACAGGAAGAAGCTGCCTATTCCTGCCTTACAAAAAGTTTGCCATTGGCTCATCCTCATGGAGAGAAGATTTTCCCCATGTACTCCTTTCCTTAGCACCTTACCTTGATCTGATCCTGCTCACAGGCATACTCAATGGATTGAAAGATTGTCCAAGTGCACCGTCGGCGCATTTCCAGGCGAGCAACATAGCGCCGATACCACCTTTGGATTAGAACAGCTGCCTTGAAAGCTAGGGAACAAAACCAGAACAACCTGCTGAGCTTCAGTGCATGAGATACCACCCTGCTATGCTCCTTTCCTGACCCTTACAACTGAAGAGAGATCTTTCTCATCCAGGAGGAAATTTTCAGAAAAGGTGTTCTGATGCCTAAATTTTAAGTATAACAACACTCACATCTTTTCACTCTATTTCAAGAGGTGATCTCACCCTGCCCAGAGACCTCTGAAGTACTTCTAACTATCACTACCAGCTCTTCAGCACGTTAAAAATTTACTGTTGCCTACATGTCTGTACACATTCTTCAGCGTCAATAGACAGATGAATCCCTTCTATCTACTGTCATCATTTTCATGTCCCTCCTTACAATTTAGGCTTCGGGAAGCCAGGCATTTGACTGAGATCACATAAAACATCAGAGAATAAAACAAGACACTGAGTCCCTTTCCAGAATCTTAAAACTAAAAAAAGTTTTTATCTCCCTTCCTTTAAGCCAAATAAATACCTCAGCTTCTGCATTTCTGGTCAAACTTCAGGAAATGATCTGTGTTAGTGTAAATGTTAATGTTTCATTATCTTGGAGTAAAATAAAGAGAAAGGGGAAAGCAGCTCTTCATCTGCTTAATGACATGGAAGGAATGAAAGGCCAGGGGTTTCCAAGCAGTTTCATGGTTCAATCCACAGCCAACACTGGCACCAGGCTCTTCCCTCTAAATGATGGCCATACTACCTACTGTTTAAAACATAATTCCTCTGCATTTCTCCAATTCCAGCAATTTTCATTACAAGATCATTTCAGTTGGGGCGTGTGCTTTCAAGCAAAGTACACTGGTACAATTTCCCATTTACTTCTCTGAGTTCTGCAGCAGAACTTCTCTAGGAACACTTATATCCACTTTAGCTGGTCTTACCACCATTTGAACTGTCTGGTTACTTTATGCTGCCTTTTACTACTTGGCATCTCTTTTTATCAGGCTCTGTGTCCCTTTTTGTTTTCATCTAGAGCGCTGCATTTAAAGCATTTCTTGACAGAGCTTCTTTGTATCAAGCTTAGCTAGGGGAAGGACAGCTGTTATGCCTAGAGGCTGGCCCTAAAATCAAACTGACACCACAGTTAGCACAGCTGCAGAAACTTGCATTCCCTTGGCACATGGTCTGTGAGAGCACTGCTGTGTTCACCAGGAAGAGCAATGGGGTGCATGGGGTGGAAAACCTTGACTGAAACCTCTCACCCTTGTCCCAAAGCCTTCTAAGATCTAAGTAAGAGATGCAGACAACACATTCAAATAATTATCTTGTATTATTAGTGTAAACCTCCTATGTACTTCAGCATGAAACACTACTTGACCTTTACCTGAAGATATTCTGATGGCTTATGTATTGAATGTAAGAACCCTTCTAATTTATACTACTGTAAAACCGCTAGGAGGTGCAAAACACGGCAAGGAAAGAGCTGTTGCTGTTGTGCAGATGGGGAACTGAGTCACAGTGTAGGCACGGACAAGGAAGTAAGATTTGGTTAGCCTTAATTCAAGAATAACTTGTGTTAGTTTTTGCCTGGGCTGAAAAAGTGCCTTCTGATCTGCTGGGCTCTGAGCAGAGTCAAGGCTGACTGTTTTTTCTGTAGATTGAGCCCCCCAAATGCTACCTCTTCAAGCCTCCTTTGTAACAGCCACCACACCAGCTGCCTTACTCTCTCTACAGCAATTTGGCTGGCACGCAGACAAAACCATAGTCACAATCACTCTCTAAAATACCTAACTTCTAAATATGTTGCATTCCCCTAACAGGGGATGCAATATCCAAATACTGCAGCAAGGGTCAGGTGTCCTTCAAGCAAATCCCAAGCAGAAACTGGTAGTCGTGACTCCACATGTATAAATGAAAAACAGATCCTTTGAAATATTACAATCTATTTTATGAGGATCCAAGTAGTAAACTGAATCATACCTCATCATGTAAGCTGAAAAGCATGCCAAAGTGGCAGCATTTGAACTCAATTATACCTGTTCATGCTAGCACTATAGTTCACATCAGTTCAAATCAGCTGTCAACAAATACTGTCTTCTTTCTCTGAAACCATTTATAACCAAAGTAATTGTGTCCCAGAATAATCTTGCCAAGTCTCCTGCATGGCAAGTGCCAGCCAAGTATGATTTCTTTATAAGACACTGCAGAAATACAGGCAGATAGCTAGAGCTAATGTTGCTGCTTCATCAGTTCTGCACCCCAAATATAGTCTTTAAATAGCAGGTCGAGCAAAAGGAGCAGTGTGCTATCATCCTCTATCACCCTGACAGCACATGAGGTTACAACACACACACATTAGCCAGAAATTGATTAGTTTGTCTGATGTTAGTTCCAACAGAATGGCTTTTTGCTGCTTCCCTTCTGGTCAGATTTGTATTAATTATCTGAACAGCTGATGTTTCCTCAAGCCTAGAGTGGGTCTTCTGCATGGCATCTGAAATTCCTCATCACAGGACATGTCCGAAAGACATAACGTAACCTCTCAGGACTATCGAGAAAAATGAGAATCTAGAAAAGAAACACATCCCACCACAACCTTCCAACAGCATGTGCAGGAACAGACAGGGAAAGGTTACATTTCAAAGAATCACTCACCATTTTCAGACTTCTGTAGAGAGTACTTGTAGTTGGCATGTACAGAACTACCAGATCCCATGTTTTCCAACTGGTACTCCTAGAATGCCACAGTCTGGCTCAGTATCACCAAAACCACACAAGAAATGCAGGAAAGCATTTGATCAGAATCCAAACTGCTGCAACATGTCCCACAGTGCTGAGTCTATAATTAAATATATTAACACTTATTAAGATCAAGAAGCGGATGTCCTGTCTTGTACCCAAGTACCTTTTCTGCTAACACGTGTTTCCAGCTACTCGATTGTCTTTTAGACCATCTGACATGAGGATTCCTGTCTTACTGTTTCAAATTTCAAGTCAGCTGTATGAATAGGAGCAATTCTGGCACTTTTCATGTGTTACATATCTAGTTACTGTAATTGTCCAGTCGATGGATAAATCAAGCATTTGTGTATTCACACAATGTTCCACGTGTTTAATTTTAGGTTTCTAAACTCTTAGCAATATGTTTGTCTTTGATGTGAACCTCCATTTCAAATGCTACCAGAAAATAAGCATGATTGAGCTCTGAATCCTAATGATACCTCTTCCCTCACGCATGCACAGCTAAAGCAGCTGGTTAAGGCAAAAAGTGCTAAAATACTCCATAACTGCATATTGGAGGCATTTGTACAGCAGAACAATAGAAAAAATATTTTTTTATACTGATCTGGAAGCATCAAGGTAATTAAGTTGATTTGGCAACACTTCAGCATCTGCAAAGATTCATGCATAAATACTTCTGTGAAGGATAACTCTCGTTATGAGGGATGAACACACATATGGTATTTAAATCTATTTGCAGTTCCACAGCATGAGGGGAGATAAGTCTAAAATAACAATTAGCTATCATAAGAAAATAATCAGCTTTGTTAAATAAACACTGCTTTTCTTCACCTCATGGATCTGCTTGAGTGCGGGGGCGTACGATGCCATCAACTACTCAGGTCCTGGCCAGCATCAAGGGACAGAACAGCCAGACTTGTGCTAACCTCTCCGCTTGCTTTGTTCAGAGCAAAAGGATCCTGTTTCAAGAATAGGTCAAAATTCTGAAACCTCTCACTCTGAGGACAATCAGGGTGCCTTCCACTGTCAGACATTTCCTCTGGGAGGAGGGGAAGGTAGAAAAAATAAAACTCCATGTGTAACTTCTTAAAGCAGTTCCTGGCTGTATCACAAAGAATTTTAAAGTTGTGGTGTTTTTTGTTTTCTTTCTGGAAAGAACTGGGTACCAGAACTGGGTACAGGGGAGAAAGCCAAGAAAGAAAAGGAAGGAAAAAATTACCTTAATCAATGCTAGGTCTGGTACTAGCAGGAGACCACATCTCAAAGTCTTCTGAAGGGCCAGAACTGTAGGACTGCAGAGGCACTTCTTCCCATTAGAGAAGGGAGAATCCCTTCTTTTCTCACTTCCTGCAGCCCTTTTGCCTAGTCGCTCTCTTTCTACCTCTCAAAATAGCTACAGATGGGCAGAAATGCTAATTGAAGGGACACATCCGGTGTTGTGTAAGGTACATGTGCACTCCTTGCTCAGGGAGATGATCCATACTGAACTAAATGTCAGCGCAGAAAGTTTCTAGATGGATAAAACAATGAAGTTTTCTGTCCTGCCCAGAATGCGGAACTGCACAACTTCATGCTGTACAGATGATGCAACAGGAGAATACTTCACAATGTTGCTAACAAAATATCACTCACTCTACTTTTACTCTATTATTTAATATCAGTGCCATAAGTGGCCTGAAATCACTGCAAATTATGCCCAAATACATCTGGTGCTTTACAGTATTTACATTCCATAATGCAGTTACTCTGAAGCTTTTCAGACTATTAACTACTTAAGCGGACAATTGCGCACACAAAAAAATCCAAAGCTCTAGCAATTAAGGCCATTCCTTGTCACCTCCTGTAGGACACATCCCACTTCAGGAAAAATAGATTTTCAAGCTCGGAATTCCTATGTGTAGACTTAGAATTCCTGTATGGATGTTCAAACAAAAATGCCTTCCCAAAGAGACACATCTGAAGATTTCAACAATTATGAGCTATATCCACTAACAGCTCTAATATGAATGATTCACTCTAGAGACATCTCCAACCATCTCTACTCACTGCATTCTGGTATATGCGGCACGGCGATCTGAAACAGCCCAGCACAGGTTCCTTTTAGATGAAATGACACCAGAGGACATGCTCTGCCTACTAAATGGGAGCAATTAGCTCACAGGAGCAGATTCAGGCTAGCTTCAAGAAAAAGCCCTGAAACACGGCTAGTGCGGCCAACTGTTCCTCCACAGATCAGGATGACACAACCTGTGTGCCCAGCTGTATCTCAGGAACCTGACACTGCCAGCCTCAAAGGAAGGTGGATGCTTTAAAGATACCTTTAAAAATACCAGCATAAGAAAAATTCCTTTTTCAGGAGCTAGAACACTGCCAGATAAGTTTAAAACAAAAACAACGAAGAACACATTTTAAGTATGTACCTACAATGCGTTCAGTGGTACCACATATCTGTTTTGATAAAATATGGCCTTGGATTTGAGATCACTTTTAGAGACACAAAATAAAACTCTTCCTTATTTCCTCCTGTTCCAGCGAAACAAGACAACCAACTCAACCATTTGCTATTGCACAGTCCTACTTTAAGGATAAGTTCTGGCCATCCAAACAGAGGGATGATCGAGTATCAGGAGCGCCTGCAGAGTGCTCCTACCTAGTTCTCTTATTTGTTTAAAAGGTCTCTCCCAAGCAATTCCTGCAGCCAGCAACTTTTTGACTTTGTTGTCTCAGATTCTTCTGAAGGCCCCAGCCTGAGCAAAGGAGTGCAATGCAATAAATCAGAGAATCCAAAGAAATGAAACCTGCTTCAGGGCTGAGAGGAGTGAGGAAGAAACGAAGTCAAACCAACTGCTCAGCACCTGTGATCCTTCCTCACCCACCCCACAGTGAAATATGTCCTTCCTATACCTAAAACTGTTTCAAAGAAAAGGTGACCCATAAAATGCAGGCTGAAATACCCAATGACAGTGGCACTGCCTCAAATGTAGACTGCATATGTATTTGAGATAAAATGATGCATATGTGAAACAGCTAGCTCCCTATTCCTTGTCTTGTTCTTGCCATTGTTCCCCTCCTGCAGAGATGCTGTGGTTTTCTCTGGTGCATTCAGAAGTCTTCTGAAATACGCTTCCTGCACTTCTTTTGAGAAGCTGCAATACATTCATTTGCCTTAGCTTGTGACTTTCCCCTGGGATGCAGTGCTGCATAGAGCATCCTCTAACAATCGCATGCTAAGTAAAACAGGTGTGAGCCCTCACGTATGCAGTTACACCAGAACTGAAACATTAAAAAATGCATGGACTAAAAAGCTGCACAACTAACAGAACAGCAAAAGATCAGATGCAAACAGGAGATGCATGTTTCCACTTCACCTGAGTTAGCACTGGAAAGGCAGGGGAACTATCTAACAGCTGTACTCCACATGCATTTCCCAAGCCATGGCATAATATATTTGATTTTGCAACACAAGCTGCTGACTTGCTTAATGCTACCCTATGATATAATAACACAAAAAAGCAAATAAAGGAAAACTTGCATAAATCCATGTGTCTCAATTAAAGAAAAAAAAAACCCACGAACAAAACACGTGAACAAACTACCAGTCCAAAACACCAACGACAAAACCCTAAAAGTGGATTTTTTTCAAGTATTAATTTAATCATTTCAAAATCAATGCAAGTGGCATCATTTTGAATCAAATTCTATGCACTGTAACATCACTGAGCTTGTCCAGATTACAGATCTGTGCAGAATTTGGGGCTCCATCCCCGTGAATCAAAAGCCTCCTCGTAAGGAGCAACAGGCTGCTCCAGCACATGGAGCTAACATCAAAGCAGCACATTTCCTAAGACCACACATTTTTCATATCACAACTGAGTTCCCACTACTACATTTTACAGACATTTGGATGACTGAGGGAAGAGGTGAATAGAATCTGGAAGGCAACAAGAAAACAAAATGTGCTCACTGAGAGTTTACTAGGAAGAAAACAGTGAAAGAGAGATGTGAGAGTGAAACAAAATTTATCAACATGACACTTAAAAGCCACCAACGAAATAAATAAATAAAGTCAAATAATTTTCACAAGAATAAAATGCTCACTAGCACTAGAGAAAGTGATGATCCTTCCTTTCCCTCCTAGATTAAATACTCATGTCCCACGTGTACATCAGACTCAGCACTGCTCGTAGCTGGAAACATGATGGTGAAACTTGATTTATTTTATATATGTGCTGAACTCTGCACGTGTACAGTTACAGCAATGCCAAAAAGGAGAACTTAGAAAGTCCCAACCATAGATTTATACACCCTGACATGTAAAAGGACATTTCATCTCAAACTATGGGTGCCGAGTAACTACTTCTGAACAAAAAGCACTGTTACAGAGAAAAGAAAAATACAACTTACCTTGCCACCAGTTGCTAGCTTAAGGACTTACTAAAATACACACAAAAGAAGCTTGCTCTCCACTTTTTTTTTCTTCTGCTTATATAATCGCCGTTCAGTAACAAAGTGATCAATAGTCTCTGATTTACCTGATTACAGATTCAGATATCTGAATAATTAAATAAGTTGTTCTCTTAGGCATGCAGAAGAAACTGCCATTGCCTTCAAGAGCTGCAGAATAAAACACATGTGCTGTTCTGCAGGGAGTGCAGATCCTTCGATTTATTTACTGCACAGTTGTTCTGAGCAGCCTTAAGAATGTTCTCCCATGTGATGCTTAAGAAAGGTTACAGGTCTGAAATGGATTAGGATTACTGAGGAGGATTAGGAATGAGAAAGACGGTAGGTTGGCCTCTCATCTTAAAGAATGAGCTCTTACACACTTTCAAGATACCTTTGGTTAAGTGCAGATTTCTCAAAGAAAAATAAATAAACATTTTACTTGTTCTCCATGTTGAGCGGAAAAGTCTTTGGTGCTTTATAACTACAGAGCCTGGGCTGCAGAAACAAAGAACAGAGGAAGCAAGGATAATGCCACTCGGTTTTCATTAATTACTTATCAATTCTGACATAAAACTGGTCTTGAGAAAGCAGAAAAACTGTTTTACTTCCCATTCTCTAAAAAGCCAGCACACAAAGCAGGTGAAATGTCAGACAAGGATGAGCAGTGAGCAATTCCAGTAACTACAAGTGTTCCTTTCTTTTAAAAAACAAACCAACCAGATCTCACAAAGAATCAAAACCCGCCAGAAATAATCAGTGCTACATTTAATGCTTTCTTACATAGCCACCATTGTTTGTTTTTTTTTTTTAAAGCTATAAAATAAGAACCTGTCTCTCTGCATTCTTTATAAAATATTTCACTTCTTACACAAAAAGAGTCCAAAACATTTAAGGGGTTAAATCATCTGGTTTGTAAACTTACTGTTTATCTTTTTAGCATGTAATTCAACTAGTTATGTAAATCTTTCTGATTGGAGGATATCAGTAAATAAATACTTTCAGTAAAAGCTTCATTTTGTTGGCAATCAGGATACCTGGACATCTATGAAGTGATAAAACACAATCACAATGCAAAGCTTCCAGAAAGTATTTTAAAAGAGCAAAAGGAACTGAAATAAAACAGCATTTCTTCAAATCCAGCCTCCTGTACTCCACTTTTTTTTTTTCTTTTTTCCCCCAGTAACATACTCTGTGGGTGAGCCTGAGCAACTTCTGAACAACTGATAGACATGCACAGGGGTGGACAACTTTTGCTGAAAATTCACAGATCCCAAATATTTATACACTCTGATCTGTTTGTATACATTTGAACAAATACAATGGTTTCATTTTATAAATCACTGAGAATCCCAGCACGCCATTACCAGAAGGTAATCAGCCTAACACTGCTGAGGTCAAGAAGACTGCAAAATTATACCTGTGAGGATCATTTCGTCTTTGCTTGTGGGTGGCAGTTACATAACAAAAACCTGCTGGAACGAGGAGTCAGGGACTGCTCTGTGAATTAAAGCACTGTCATCTCGATATCTTGAAGATATCCTGGCCTCTGTTATTTACATCTTCCTGCGTTTTTCAGCTTTTATCAGTTCTGGTATACAACTGCTAACATCGTTGTACTAACTGGGTCAAGGCAAAGCTGGCACGCATTTATCCAGGCAGAAGTAGAGGATGCAGGTAAGTAGGTTATGACACTCAGCCAGACTCAGTACAAGGAGATAAAGGGACCACATCTCCAGAATGCTCTCTCAGGAATAGTTTGCATAACTGGAACACAACCACTGCAAATGACAGTGCACATATTCGGGAATGTCTCCTAGATAAAATTCTTGCAGGCAATTACCACAATTTTATCCAGTACCCCAATAATTTTATGTAGGTATCCACTGGTCTCAATTCCCTAAATCTTTCTGTATTTCTAGGATGTTTGCAGGAAGTGCCTGAATTCATAATATGTAGTCATAACACAACCAGACTGAAATAAACCTGTCTGCACCAGAAAAAGTAAAAGAAAACTTGAGTTGTCAAGTTTCTATTGATGACACCATCATTTGATGCCCCATTTCCTTATGTTACACCAAAAAACTATTCCTTATACAGACTGAAAGTCTCTATGATCCAACACCTTACCTACTACTAGAGGACAAGTACTCTTCAAATCACTTGAGAACCTCCATGACTCTCTCAAGGACATGACTCTCAGACACCTTTCATAGGCCCTGGAAAAACAGCTGAAGAGCCTGTGCACTGAAGAACTGCAGCTGAAGAGGAAAGATACTGCCTGCAGTGGTATTCACACTGTGGAGAGCCATGTTCCTTTGCACTGATGCAGTAATTTTTGTGTTGAGCAAGGTCTACAGAGCACATTAGGACAGGATGGCCAAAGGCTGAGACAGTCTCAGGATCTGCAGCAACCCTGTTGGTCTGCCAGCTTCCCCAGCACCCATGCCAGCTCACTGCGGGCACTGAGTGATGCTGCTGGGCTAATAACCACAGACTCCATACAAGTCAGATATAGATGATGACATTAGCAGTAACACCACAGGTCTCCATAAATCAAGCAATCAGCTGCATATTTTTATTTACTATGTTCACACCTACACTCCACACAAAATAGATCAATTTTTTATTTATTGGTCAGAATGAATATATTCAAATTGCACAATTCTTCCCAAAAACAATAATAGCAAATTTTAGCTATCAGTATCTGCTAGAACATCAATATAATTAAAATAAAATCAAACTTCCATTACAATTCATTAACAGTGTCATCTGCAACACTTTAAAGAACTAACAAGTCTTTATTGCGTGAATGGTTCACCCAATTAGTAATCCAGAACAACTGTACTGCTTTTGGGAGTGTTTTTAAAAGTATATGCTGGTCTTGGAAAGCTTCTACTTTTCTCCTATTCAGTTTGCTGAAATAAAAAGATAGATAAACATAAGAACACACGTCTGTATACATGTGTAGAAAGAAACAAACTCTTCAGAATCCCTAAAAGAAAGGAACTAGTCTTGCTAAAATCTAATGTCCAATATAACTACTATGAATACAACACCAATGAACATTTAAAAATCTATTTGAACTGCAGTGCAGCTTATTATGGTCTTGCCAAGTCCACACAACCAGAGTTTCCTGGAAGAAATACATGTAACTTAATATCCTCCTTTGAACACAGTATAGCTACCACATGAGGCACTGTGCGAGCTGAACCACTTTGACTTTTTCTGCAAGTAGACAGGACAAAAATCTCGGAGAATGCTGATGTTCAGTTGGCTGTGAGAGGCTGCCACAAATTAAACTCAATCTTTGTTTGTGCCAAGTGCTGAACATCACCTGCTCAGGTTCAGCTCACCATTGGCAGGGCTTTCTGTCATACTTAGCCACCTGAAGATACACCAAACGTATCACACCAGTGGAACTGGTAAAAACAATACTTAAAGCTTTCATTTAGCAAACAACTATCAGTAGGTTACAACAGCAGCCATTCCTTCCTCTCTACTTTATTAAAAGTACTTTTCCTAGTAATCTCAGAGGGTTTTGCAAAGGAAGTCAGTACTTAACTCTTATCTCTAAATCAACTAGGGAAGGTATTTAACCAAGGTCAATAAGCAAACCAAGGGAATCAGGAATTCAGACTAGGTCACTTGAGTATGGTTGCAGTGCTTTGTCCCCCCGTGACTCATCAGCTGGAATTTTTATTGAAGTACAAGAAGCTAAGCATACCAGCATGTTATTTACTCCTCCTCACTTCATAGTTCTGATCCATGTCTGGTACTTCTCTGGAAATGCAGCACTCATTACTGTAGTATACACTGTATTACTGGTAGGCAAAAGAAGAAAAGAGTGACAAAATCATTCAACAGACATGAAGATTCATTTATGAAACTAGCAATGCAGCAGAACAAATTTTACTGGAACAAACATTCTGCATATAAATATGCAGAAGTGTTAGAAAAAGTGAGGAAGAGACTTTGAAGAAGCCATTGCCAAGCTCTGAAGCAAGTGACTGATCTAGAGAAAGTACTGAGTTTCATGTAAAAGTAACATAAAAGGATAACCTGCAAAGGTGCAATCTGTGGAACGCAGAAGTATAATATTAAACAGAAGTAAATCTACTAAAAAAAAAAAGGTACCTAAAAGCTATGCACCCATTTACTACTTAACAGTTTTTCTCACATCAAGCAGAGCTACATCAGAAGCACCAAAGAGATATTTCCAATGCTACCACAAATCTAAACTTTCCAACAGTCAAAGGCACAAGTGACTTGGCCAGAAGAACTGTAGAAAGTACTGCTGATTGATCATCTAAATGGTCATATTTTTCCCTGCTATAAAGCAGCTTGCTGTTACCAGACTAAGTCAAACAAAGTGTCATTTCATAGCTGGAGAGGGACAGACCAAAGAGGAAGAGTTCTGTGGAAGTGAAGACATAGCACCACATGCACAAGCAGAAATCTAAGCTAGTAAACAGCAAGACACTCAAGCAGAGGTACATGGAAATCCCAAGGAAGTTTTTGGCCTGATGCATGGTAGAAGGTACTGATTGACATCTCTGAAGCTAATACTTACTTATTTAAGACTGGCTTCACTGACAGTACCTGTACAGAAAGTTTGAAGTGTTGTCATTTTGGTAAATTAAAAGGTAATTAAAAGACTACATAGAAACAGCATAGGACGAAGTTATGAAACCATATAATGGGAAAATCAAGAATTATTCTTGCTCTTCAGTTCTATTTTTTTAATATCAGACCATTTTGCTTTTTTTTTTTTTTTTTAAATAAAAACTCTGAAATACACAACAGAACTAGGTGGTAAATTTCATTCTTCTGTAACACTTTAGCTGCCCTCTGTAATATTTATAATTGTGCCTGAACAACAAAATTGGAGAGATGATGGTGATGGGATTCATCTCTGACCCTTTCAACTTACAACAGCAGACTATTATGAAATGACTATGCGTGGAGTTCAGAAACATTTTAACATATAAAATATAAATCAGCCTCAAATTCTCCAAAGATGGCCATGCAGCACATCCTTTCACCATCCCTTCCTTGCATGGCTTTTGAATTTCTAACAACAAAGTAACTGTACTTCTGCTTTGGAAGAATTTTAAGTGAAAGTCTACATGTTGTATAGAATTTAAAAGAAATACCTGAAAGAGTGTATCTAAATTGATGTTCTGCTGTCCAGTAGCATTCAGAGCTTTCATGGCTGGTGTCCTGTGGGAAAATAGTGCAATATGATTAAATACGATGCACTGTTCCAAAGAACAATAGAGAATTAAATAGAGAAGAATTTCCTCACTGAATGTCTCAAATTTAAAATATCTGTTTTGGCCTAAAATAATCCAGAATTCTGTGTCACCGAAGGTAGTGTCATATTGCTGAAGTCACTATGTCACTATACCATGAATACAGAATAGGGAATCTGCCAGCAGCTTTTCATATATGACACATCCTAAAGACCTTATCACATCAACAAGTCTCTTAATAGCACTATCAAATACTTTCAATATGAATCTAAATCCTGTAATTTTTACTAAATTTTGCTTTATACAGAGATTTTTGATACACAGTATATCCTTCAGACTTCTCACCTTGTAGCCACTCAGTGCCATGTGGACCTTCCTCTGGCATATGTTATTATCACCCTTTAGCTTACCTGTTCCCATCTGAGTGCATTACAGAAACATAACTAACTGCCTGCTTAGCAAGCTCACGGCTGCTCAGAGAAGAAAACGTCCAAGTCATCAAGCTTTTTAAAAATGAAAGTGATATCTCATTACAGAGCTCCAAACTAATTTTACCTTCGGTCATCACAAGGAGGAGGGGTAGTCCAATGGTCATAGTTTGTTTCCACACGAAACCACCTGTCATGTTACACACAAATATAAAAGTAAACACAAATTGCATCAGCAGGTAATTAATAAAAGCCAAGAATCAATATTTCTGTATGTCTAAAAGGAAAAAAAGAATTCTCTCAGACAGCTCTTCCCTGCGTTTCTGAACACACACAAAAGAGTAGTTGCTGAACTGCTAGTGGCAAAACCACTACCAACTAGAACAAAAGTAAAGTTAGACCTTACAAAAGATAACTGGAGAAAAGATTATGGGCATGCAGCCTGAAACATTCATTTTGGAGCATATAGGCTGTACCCGAGCCAATATTGCCTGATAGCAGTCATTAAGTGCCATTTTTTCACTGCAGGCCAACTGCTGCAGATCTTCTCATATTATGCTGCCAATTTCACAAAATTCATAGAAACAACTATTTTTGAGCCTTCAATTCTTCTATCACGCTGGTGAAAACTAACTTGGGAGTGGTGAATTTTATCATGCGATACTTGGCAGACAGACATCCAGGATGAGCCCTCAGGTCTTGTCTCCTTTAGAATCCATGTAAAAATAAATGTATGCAGAAGCTTTTGCCACCTTTGATGCTCTGATTGTCCCAACCTGACATGGTGTTGTCACTCCTTCCCAAGAAGGGAGCACAGTTCTTTTTAGGGGCTCCCAAACTTTCCCTGCTCAGCTGTGAGCACTGATAAGAGATGAACCTGGATCTACACCAAAAGCTGTTCCATTATCCTCACCTATCACTCAAGAGAGAGTATGAGAAGGTAAAACAAAACATTTTCTATACTTACGCTCCACTTAAGGGATCAAGAGGCCAGAGGTCTGCTGGCCCTCTTCTATTTCTTGTTATGACCATGCCTTCTTTGGGTGATACGCCTCCTACAATATAGTAAACTTCAGCAATGATGGGAATGTCAGCTAGTCTGAGAACAGCTGACTGAAAGTCCTCTGCTCTGCTCAGGGTCTGATACAAAAAGGAAATCACAATGAAACAAAAGTCACAGAGCACAGTCAAGCACAAAATTAAGCACTGGGACATATTAAAAAATGAAACAGTCCTAGCACTGTTGCAAATTAAAATGAACTATGAAGTGCCATTTGAAAATATTTCTTTGGAAAGAGCTTTCCAATAGAACATAGGAACATGAAACTCACAACTGAAATCATTCTTCCATCTTTGCAAATACACAAAGGAAAAAGTAAATATACATATATAAACACATGTATGCTTACGCATATGAGGAAAAGTGAAAAAAGTTCAAAAACAAAATTGCTCTCTCAACCATTAATTACTTCTGACAGCAACACTGCAATTAGCAGTCTCAATCACACTTTCAACTTGCATCTTCAACTCAAAAAATACGAAAAATAAGGTGTGCAACAGACACCCCAGCTCTGCAGGGAGGCCACTTACAAATCATAACTCACAAATCTGAGAAGCAGATCTGTTTTATTGTAACAGTAAGCTAATGCAATATTCATCAAACATGCTTTATATAATACCAGTGTAACTTCTGCCACTCAACAGCGAGCTCTGATTTGGGGGTAATATCTACTTGTTCTTTTGAAATATGTTTACTTAGCATTTATTGCATTCTCCATGAAA